ACCAAAGTTGGAAATGTCGTTGCCAGAGTAGTCGGTGTTCCATTCGGGCTTGCCGCACGTTCGACCAACGATCGGCAACGGCGTCGACGTCGGCGTCGGCGTCGTGCCTGCCTTCTTGGCCGAGATGACACCCGGCGCCGCCTTGCGCCCGGCGTCCGACGACTTGAGGTAGCAGATCCCGTCCGCAAGCGAAAACGCGTTGCAGCCATCCGCTTTGGCGCAGGCGTCGCAGCAAGCCTTTGTCTGGTCGGCCTGGCTGCCCGACACGAGCTGCTTGGAGAGGTCGTTGCCGTAGTAGTCGACGTTACTTTCGGGCGCCGAGCACGTACCGACGGGCGCCGGCGTGCGCGACATGAGCACCGACGTGGCACCATTCAACGGTTTACGGTTGCCGCCGCCCGACTTGAGGTAGCAGACGTTGTTGGCAAGCGTGTACGCAACGCACGAGCTGTTGCCGGTGCAGCCATCGCAGCACTGCTTGAGCATGTTGTTAAAGTCGCCGGTTGTCGCAAAGTTGCCGACGTCGTCGCCGTAGTAGTCGGTGTTCCACTCGGGTGCGCCGCAGGTCCGGGCGTGGATCGCCGTGATGGCCATCGTTGCCAAAAGCGCAGTCGTCGCAAGAGGTTGCATCGGGTGTAGTTGTAGTGGTGGTAAAATGGAAAATGAGGTTGGTTGTGAGGGTGGCGCGACGCCTCGGGGTCGCAACGAGCGGCGCAGCGATCAGGTTGCACTCGCCACACCCACCCACATCAAGGCCGCCGTGTCGGTCGTTGTGCCACAGTAGCCATGCGACCGACCGCACCAAGTACAAAGACGCGCGGCCCAGGCGCGCGCGTCGTCGTTTCGACACTTGCCCACATTGCATGTATGTCACATTGCACTTTGTGTTATGGTTGAAAATAGTATAAGGTAAGACACTCACACTTGGACGCGCTACTTGTCATTGCCAGTAAACTCGCTACAGCCCCACAGAAGTACATACTATGGACTCGTGAGCTCCACCCACCCACGACGCGAATCTCAACTGTCCCTTGCATTTCAAAGCTTCTCCGGCTGCCACGTTTCACCATCTGGTGCAGGAAAGGCCGACGTGCTGCCACGCAATACTGAGAAACGGACCAATCAGAACGACCAGCGGCCACCAAAGATACATGTTGGGGTCACATTTTGGTTTGACGTGGCGGAAACGCAGTAGGTGGAGTCGATACGTTAC